GGTTTTTCCAAGTCTGGTTGCAGATAACCCAGACCCCAATCCCAACCACGGGCAACGACCCTATCCTTGGCCTGCAAGACTTCCGCACATGAAAGAGGAAAGCCACAGGAAAATGAACCTGAAGTCTTTCCAAACCAAAAGGAGAAACCCAGATGCAAAAAACATTTAATAATATGTGAGGGTATGCTCATGGGACCTCTTTCCGTTTTTTGGCGAAAAATGGCGAAATTAAGCAACTTTTGGTGTCTCTGTTTTGTAGTTGTGCGCATCTTTGCGAAAATGGAGCATTTTTTTTTTGCAAAACTAACATGTTAGCAACACGTTGTAACATGTTAACAACGCGTCCTAACACGTTGCTGACGGCAAACGATTTTCAATGCAAAAACATAGCGTCGAGCTGCCAAACGCTGTTGGCCGCTTGCTGGATCCAGTTTTGCCTTTTCTGCAGGGCCTTCAAAAGCCGCTTGCTGGATCCAATTTTGTTCTCAAAGTCTTCCTGGAGGGACTGCAAAAGTAGCGTGACACCATGAACAGGAGGAACTGAACGGTCAATGTTCTTACTCCGAGTGCAATGAGTTTTTTGGCGCGCTATTTTGTAGAAAAGCTCGTTTCAGACGCATTTTTCAATTTCTCAAACCTTCTAGAAGCGTTCCACAGCATGACGCTGCCTTTGCCACTCGTGTTGCAAACCGTGCTAGATTGCTTGCAAACGGCTTGGAACGAAGCTTTCAAACGGTGGTAGAAGCTTGCAAAACGTAGAAGGGGGCAACACCAAGTTTCCGCATAACATGGCCATGCTTTTGGCAGTACTTTTGAATACAGCAAGCTTTTTCCACGTGTACAAGGATAGAACAACTACGTTCCGAGTAAAAACTCTTCTTTGAAGGTAAAACCCTGGGAAGTGAAACCTGGAACTGGAATCAACCATTCGCAGTTGTGATGGCACTTCGGCCAAGCGTCCTACACATAAAGGCGGCTGTCAGTTCCACCGAACTGTCCAATGACCCAAGACTGATGCTGTTCGCCAGGAGCCTTGAATTTCCAACGGTTTCGGTCCATGCATTACGATGAACCAGACACACTTGTTGCGGAGTACCTGAGCTGTGGCCGTATTTCTTGAATGATGCAAAAAGAGGTAAGCAACTGCAAGGAAGGTGCATGGTGAGCGGATAGGTCTTTTTGAGAGATTTGAGTGGAGAGAAACACAACCTCTGAAGATTTACCACACAGTTTCCTGTTGGATCTGGAGCTAAATGCTCATTGGAGGTAGCCAGACAGCCTTTGGAAAGAAGATTGAAAGTACTTTTTTTTTTTGGCTAGAGCTGGGCCGAGGAGTGGACATCCTGCCGCGTTTTCAAAGAACTCAAGGAGAAGCTTGAGAAGTTGGCTGCGGCAGGTGCTGTCACACTCGTCGGAGGTCTTCATCCAGCTCTTTAATCAACTTTATCACTAACTTCTGATTTTTTTCAGCTGGAAAGTTGTTACGCACACAATAACCCACTCAAAAAAAGTGCTCCAGAACTGCTCTGAGGTTTTCATTGTGCTTTCTTCGCTTGCTTCTGTTTTGTCGCTGTAAGACCCATAGGGAAGAAGGAGAGAAGAGGAATCCGCCGGAGCGCAAATTAAGACGGAACCGTTCCACGTTATTTTGTCTTATTTACAATAAGTTTAGATGTTTCGAGATTCCACGTTCGATCCAAGTTCCCTCAAAGCATTTCCCTCTTTAAGATATGGCTTTAAAAGTTCAAGTTCCCCAAGTCTCTGTTGTGCAAAACTGCGAAACACACAACAATGGAGACGCAGATCTGCAAAAAATGCTCTTAACAAGAAGTATGGCTTCGCACCAAGAGTCTCACAGACGACAAGCAGCATCGCAAATGTGCAGGCAACTATTGCGCGTCCATGCGCACATTGAGATGACAGCTTACAGACATCTAGTGGGTCTGGAAATTGAACCGGCAAAACTAAACTGTTTGGTAAAAAAGTGCAAGTAGAGTCCAGCCACCAAACTGATGTTTGTTTTTAAAAGGCTTTGCAATCATGGCGCACAGGAAGGCTAGTTCCTCCGCTTTGGAACCCAGGTTTTGTCCTAGGTTTGCATCTGAGTTGCCTATTCTGAGCAAAGACGCCATAAATGCGGAGTCCTTGCTCGTTCCGTCGCCTTCCGACAAAGAGAAAACTTGGAAATTCTACATCTGCATCTGTTGCTTAATGCTCCAACATGTTCTCCTGCCCTTGCATTGGGATTGAATCGCCTGGTGAGAAGTTAGAAATTCAATGTCACCAAATGAGAGGGAAGGCGGGACGTGTTTTAGACATACCAAAAATCGAAGTTGCTGGATGGCGCGAAGTTTAAGATTGATGATGATGCTGGAATCGGTTGAACTAATTCATATAGAAAAATCTTAGCTGCGCGCGCGCAGCGCGCGTGGCTGCCAAAAAAAAACGTGGTTTTTGCCTTTGAAAAACGGAAGTTCGGCCTGGCCACCTGAGAAGTACCAACCTACCTAGCTACCTTTCTGCCACCTACCTGCCTTTCTACTTCGAAAGAAGCTTCTTCCTCAAGATGAAGAAAGCACAGTTTGGTCTACAGACTTAAGGCACTTGGGTGGATGAGAGGCACTGACCCACTTCTCGTGGTCTTGTCTGCTGCCTCTCTGGCAGCTTTGCGGGAGTGGGGCGAGAAACTTGCCATTGCGCAACCCTGAAATCTGGGAAGCGGGGCATCTGAGAGAGGCGATGTTGATATGAGACGGGTGATTCATTGCGGAACGACTCTTGCCGGCTAAGTCTGTTGGTC